AGGCTAACCGCGGGTGGTTGGAGGGCGCCACTGGTAGATCCCTCTTCTTTACTTTCCCTTTGTTTCTGTCTGTCAATGTCTTTCTGTCTATTTTCCAGCACTAAATGACCATAATTGTGTCGATATACGTCTCTTTACTCAAACAATCAAAGGCCAACCGTCAATCCTAACTTGGCTAGCTTCTGTGGTCACAACTCTCGATCGAAGAATCTGCTTGTAAATTGTAAATATGTTACACTCTGGTCGACATAATTTAGGTTAATTAAAGAAACATGCGATCTTACCTGGGTAAGTGAAACTTGTTTCTGATTTTGTCGAGTAAGTCATCATCAGGAGCTGAGTGGGAAGATGAGAGAAGGCCTGCGTTTCCCGCCGCTGGTCACACTTTTGATCACGATAGTCACATTCTCAATTAAGTCATCTTAATAAAGCATGGAATGCTTTGACTTTGTCTCAAACTCAAAGTGAGGGAAAGGGTAGGCATCTTCCTACTCAGCTCCTGGTGACTTACTCGACACAATCAGAAACAAGCTTTACTTACCCAGGTAAGATCGCATGCTTCTTTAATTTTATCTCGCAAGCCATCAGGGCTTCGGGGTAAGATGAGACTTTAGAGCCAGAATGTGACTATCCAGTCGCTAAACCGAATCAGGACAACTGCTTTTCAAGCGATGCCAAGAGAACATTGTCACATAATAATAAAATGTTTGAAAAACATTTTGTAAATCATTATGAGGGTTTATTTGCTGTTTGTTTAGCTTATAATCCCAAAATAACATTTTGAATAGAGTAAAGAATTTTTTTTCAAGATGATATGTGGTGACATGGTGATGATATCTGCATGTAATGTGCAGAACACTTAAATGCAATAAATCATATGCATGCTGAATAAATTTAAAAGTAGAAAATGTGACATGCATTGTCCAGTTCGTTTATACAAATCAGTAACACTGAAAATAGTGAAACATTTTCCAACACCATGAATTGTGTTGAGATAATGGTATAAGGTACAGACATGTAATGTCTAATCGTTTTTTTAATTAGAACCTAGTTGGAATTATTTTACTTTATGTTGGTTGGAATTATTTTACTTTATGTTGCATAAGTAAAGAGTTTTCTTCCACCAAACAAGTGATGAGATAATGATACCGTGCGTATAAAGTTGACATGTAATGTCCAATCCATTAGTGTAATAATCAGTTTCATGCTGCATGAAATAAAGAAACCTTGTCCATCCTGATTTGTGATGAGATAATTGTACACAAAGAAGGTGAATGTACTGTCCATCAACTAATGCAATGTAAACATGTAGAACTCAAAATAAAGTAAACATCCTTCAACGTAATGAATTGCAGTGACAATATTATACACAGAATAGACTTGTAAAGTCCAGTCGATCAATGTAATAAATCGGTTTTAGACTGCATGAAGGAAAGAATCCTTTTCCCATCATGACTTGTCATGGGATGATATTATATGTACAGAGTGCTGACCTGTAACGGCTAATTAACCAAAGCAAAACCGTAGTACGGTGACTAACATACAGAATATTTTAATCCTTATAAGTTTTGAAATAATGATATCATTATAATATAGATATTGAATATATAATGCCCGATCAATAAATGCAATAATTCATGTGGATTTTGAAAAGTATGTGTCTAGCAGACGTTGTCCGAAGTTGTGTTTTACTTGCTTTTTGTAAAATCGAGTAAAGGTACTCTCTTGCGTCCAGCCTGCTGCCTCTAAAATTGTTGTGAGTGGGACATCTGCTTCAGAGGCAGCTGATGTGCTCGCGGGGTGAGTGCTATGCGCAAAGAATGCAAAGTCAGTTCCTGCCAGTTCCAGAACAGATTTAATCCATCTTCATAATGTGTCCTTACTTATGGGGAAGTGTGGCCTTTGGAAACTGATCAGGAGACGACTTGTGATGTGTTTCCTATGCTCTCCTGTCATTTTTAAATACAGCCAGTATCTCTACGATGCAACGCTGTGGGCGTTTTTCAAATGCCAAAAAATTCCAGAGGCTTCTGGTGACAACCCTTGCGAGAATGCCTCAACAGATTTGAAATGAAAAATGTACATTTGTTTGCTGTCACAGTCATGTAATTAGTGTTTAATTTATACAACGTTTGACACCTTTGTCCGGACAGGAGGGCCAACAACATGACGCGCTTTAAGGACACTTCTTTTAAAGTGAGGCTTTCATTGGGGTACCCTGTTTCTAGAAAAGAAAGTACTGTGTTTACACCCCAAGTGGCTACTAGGTATAGACTCAATAGCTCCTTTAATAAATCTCCTAACTTGAGGCAGGTTACCAAAAGATTCTGAACTATTTTCCTCGTTGATATAACATGCCAGGGCAGAGCTTACAATGCATTAAGCAGAGTACGATTTCCCTTCCGTGACTTATGAGGCAAGGAAATTGAGCGCAACGTATTAAGGGGCAGTGAAATTGAATCCACTTGTTGGAGGACCGCGTACCGCTTCCAGTCCTCAATGTATCGGTGATACGCAAGGAGGTTACGGTTTTAAGTTCCTTGGTGATACACCTTCTTTGTTTCATTTCGCCTCGAGGACATGAGAAGGTCGGTTGCTGCTTCAGAAAGGCCTTCCCTTTCTTATTTTTTCCTGACACTTTGCACACTTGCAAGCGAAGCTTTTTGTGCAAGTGATGTGTTTGGTCTGGACTGCTTTGTAGGGGGAGAAAATTTTCTCTTGCAGACATAGAAGGACTGGCTTTTCGACCCGGATTTGCATCAGGAGTGGGGAAAAGGGCTGTGAGGGCCAGCATGGTGCCACAATGATGAAGAAGTAGATGACGATGAAGAGGAAGAGGAATATTCATACCTTGGTGTCTTTCGTCCTCTTATTTTGGCAGGGACTTTGTTCGACTTTTTAAAAAATTTTCATAGTTTTGTCTGCATCTCAATAGCAGAGAAAAGATTTGCCTGTACCCCAGGTATTTGATTCCCATCATTATCGGGCCCTTTTTGTTCTGATACCGGACTTTTGTTTTGAGCCGGTCTCTTATTTTCCCCTGGCCCAGTACAATCGTCATCTTCAAAGTCAAAATCTGCCAGGTTGAATTCGTCTGTCTCTATTACGGACATGTTTGTAAATATTATAATTGCAAATTTGTTCACGTCTGTGAAAAAGAAAGCCTACTCACGTGAGTCCAAAGCAAATAGGAAATCTTAGAAAAAGGTTAACAAACCAAACACCCGCAGGAACAACACATTTTAATCCAAGGGAAACAAGAGGCGTGACCGAACGGCGAGAGAACTCAGCCAAAAGTGACCAGCGGCGCCAAACGCAGACCTTCTCATCTTACCTCGAAGCCCTTATCGCTTTGCGAGATAAAACTGGGAGGTGGGCTGCTTCGAATGACCCTGCCTGTCAGGGCCATCCACCTCTTCTTGGAATACATCCTATCATTTGTATTACGTTGTACTACTTCTAGAAGAAGAAGTGCAATACTCAATGAAAGCTATAACCTTCCCAAAAAAGGATCGAACTTGCGTCATTTAAGTGCACAATGAAGAACTAGTGAAGAATCATGGTCTCTATCAAAATGAGTTCCTCTGATAACTAGGTCATGGTCTGAAATCTGGAAGCTGAAGAACATGTTGTACGATACGAACGGGAATTCTTGTGTCTCGACTGGTAGATCTAGTGGTGGTAGTACCAAAGGTATTACAACCAAAGATCGTACATAGCAAGATAGTTCACTCCTGTCTTTGAGCCAATTAAACAATTGTCCTTAAAATCCGATGGCATCCTCTTCGAAAAAGCGCCCGCTTTTCGAACATAGTCACTCTACTTGTGTGAAAAACAATAGAAGTGAAACTAACAAGCTGTGCTCTTCTTCTTCTTCTTTTTCTTCTTCTTCTTCTTCTTCTACTTCTTCTTCTTCTTCTTCTTCTTCTTCTTCTTCTTCTTCTTCTTCTTCTTCTGCAGAAACGAAAGAGATCTTTAAAAAAAAGACTGCAGCGCCATCTGAATCAATGCGCGGACTTCCGCGGACACCTTTTTGGCAGAGTGAACTATCTGGCTATATAGCCAAGTGGGTGGATTTACCCCAACTGTACTATGTAGATCCATGACCATAACAGAAGAATTTTCTTTTATAATGGCTTTATTGGTGCATAAAATGAAGACAAATAAACACTTCATTGATTTTAAAAGATACTTTAGACTTTCATCCACCATAAATACACAAGGTCTAGCATCAAAAAGTACGTTAGGTCTACTTACTTTGCTGATGCTTGAGGATGCTCTTTAAGAAGGCTGCTGTTCAACATCCACAGGTTCAAAAGTTGATGAAATAGGAAAAGGAAGTCCAGGGGATGTAACTCAATAATCATGAGTGGCAAAACTCTCCTCAAATGATTTGCAGAGTTTTGTCCCTTAAAATTGTTCAAAGTGGGTGGAATTACCCCGTGGGTGGAATTGCCCCGGTTCACCATACGATCTTTGATACAACATAGCATGAAATCATTAATAAAGATATAATATTCATCTCTACATCTCTGCATTATCTATGTATGTGGGTAATCGAACCTTATCGTAATCTTTACTACAAGATGATTCACACCGCCAGAAAAGGGCACAATGTCTAAGGTGACGCCACCCGCTATTTGAAGACGTTGGGGGTTTTTTTCGTTGCTCAAAGAGAGGAGTAAACCGTCTTATGGTGCAGGATCTTTGTCGTATTGCGCTGATTTAAAAAAAAAATCTCTTTAATATTATTTTCTTTCAATATTTTGAAACGTAAACATAAGTCACGGAATCGTGACCCATTTTCAGACACCGTCACCAACTCCCATCTTTATTGTGTACCGGTGTATTATTTAAAGATAACGATTTTACACGTTAGACCAGTTAGACCCACCTTTTTCATTCCGCAAACCCTGTCAAATCTTTCTTTGGGGGGGGGGGGGGGGGAGTCAGATACCACAGGCTAGAGCGTTTGGGGACGAAAGGGGGGGGGGGGAGATTTTACTGGAATGTAGCTAGTACAGGTACCAAAACAATTGTAGTCTTGCCTATTCTTGCCTCAAGTCTTGTCTCACTTTCCAGATTCTGTTCATCGTTCAGCGGGGTAGTAATGTTGCCAGGAGTTTCTGTTGTAAGTAGTAGTTTAGCATCAGTCTCGGCTGACAGATGAAATTGTCCTCAGTCAGAGCGCTCAACAGTTGTAGGGGAAGTCGACGGGAAACAGCGGTCGTACACAGGACCACCACTCTGAAACAGGAGATAAAATATCGATAAAAATATTGTTTATTGATCCATCACGTTGGAAGACATTGACAGTGCGCTTTCACCAGCCAGTGGGGCACAAAAACTAGATAGCATCAAACAATGTATACATCTACATGTTTTCATTCTCTCTCTGTCTCTCTCTCTCTGTCTCTCTCTGTCTCTCTCTCTCTCTCTCTCTCTCTCTCTCTCTCTCTCTCTCTCTCTCTCTTTCTCTCTCTCTCTCTCTGCCCCCACTCTCTCTCCCTCTGCTAGTGTATGTAGTGTAGGTATGCATGTATTGCACCCCTCTCCCTTCTCATACACTCTCCCACCCTATCCCTCGTTACATACAACAGGGTAACTCTATGGCAAAAACTGGGCATGCTACAATGTATCATAGGGAAATTAAGTGTAACAGTGAATGGCTTCTTGGGGCAAAAATCACAACATTCGCGCTGGTGTAACGGAAAAGTAGCGTGTTATACATGTATTTTGCGCTGGGAAATGAGAGGGTAGGATTAACAAGTGAGTATTTCAAAAAGATCCATGTCTATCCATTTTGAGTTCGGCAAACGAGAGAACATGTGTCAAGAAAGCAGTCTGCTAGTTTTCGTGTTGTTGCACAAACCATTCGATGGCTTTTCACAAGAGGCAGAAGAAACACGCTACGACATTAGTCAGTTTCCCTTCTGTACGATTTATTCCTACGAACGTGTAAACAGAAATCAGTCTTCAGGGTGGTGTTTCTGATTTTTGTTTCTATTAAACAGTCCCCCAAAATTTAAGGGAACAGAGTCTAACTCGGGGAAAACATCACATATATCTCCAAACTTCGTAGATTTTAACTGAAGCAAAGATGCCACAGTCGCCAGATCTACCATGCGAGAACCTAAGAAGACGAAAGAGCCCACTGCCCTGAGTGAGCGACGACTACAACAATGTGACTGAGAGTGATATCTCAGTTTTATTCGCCCAAACTTACCTTTATGGATAATGCTGACACGGAGTCTGATAACCAACGGTTGTCTTCAAAAGGCCTTATTAATACATGTATTAGCCCTGAAAGTAAGGGAGAGAATGCCGCTTTCTCTGAAATGCAAGCACTTTCTTAAGGTGAATTCCAGATAGAATGTAAAATAAAACATTGCTGCGTCTTTCGGTCGGAACACGACCGTGGAAAGCCGCAAAAGCTTTTAGTTAAGCGAGCTGTACGTGTAGTAGTAGTAGAAACACTGTAAAACGTTGGTGACTCTGGTTTAGGGAGCTTTTACAACGTTTCGACAATTTGCTTCCAACGGGAACCAATCATTTATTGCCTTCTCTTTTGCAATGTTCCTGTGACATTCGCTTCAAGTCACTCACCTGTGTGGGTTGTCTGGGGTCTGGGAGTAGATGGCTGTCTTCAACGTGAAAAGTGCCCACTCGTCTCCGTCAAGGAAGTTGTCAGTGACGAGAAGCACCAGCCTCCAGCTGTTGTTGATGGCCTCCACGATGCCGTCCGCCATGCTCATGCCAAGCATTTGGTCACGGTCTCGGATATAGGTGGATAGGCCCAGCTCCCTCTCGATGAATGTGTTCAGCTCTCCACAAGGAAAACCGTAATCCGCATCAGCGTAGCCGATAAACACACCCGTTCTGTAGTCCTTTGGCGTTTTCAGCTTGAAGTCAGGAGCGATAGCATTCAGCAAGAACGTTTTGATATAAGTTTGGAATTTGAATATCAAGACAGTAGACAGGAACACGGTTATACATCCACTGAGTATGATTGTGGCGATCAGGAAAAAGAATCGACCATTGCAATGTCTCCAGAGAGCCTTTGGGTGTTCACTTTCTGCTACAGACATTACATATATGTTGTCTGTCAGGCACATAAGATGTTCGATTGAATCTATCTTCATTGCCGTCGACCTTAACCAGGTCAAAGAAGATAATCCTGAACAACTACATGTAAGTATATTTCTCTCCATCAATAATGTTAAGTTCTTATTTACCAAATAAGCGTCATCGAGTTGGTTGATGTCACCTCTGGATAAGACATGTATAGCGTTGTCTTGAAGATTTAATACGTTAAGGTTCGGGACAAATTTCAGGGAAACGGGAATCGACGTGAAAGAGTTGTGATGAAGGATTAAGCTCTCCAGTTTAGGGTTAGAGCTAAATGTGCTTGGGCTTAGATGTTCTAAGTCGTTGTTAGAGAGATCCAGATATTTCAATACCGTGAGCTTAGCAAACAAGCGACCGCTGTGCATGGTCATCATAGTCTTGTTCAACTGGTTGTTGGACAGATCTAGAAACTCCAGTTTGGGGAAGAAGTCAAAGAAGTTGAGGTTAAACTCATAAAGATCGTTGTGGGACATATAGAGTCTCTGGAGGTTTGTCAGACCACGCAGACTTCCCGTGACCTGTTGGTACTGATTATTACTTAAGTCGAGGACTCTCAGACTGTCAGCGTTTTGATAAAAGAAGTCCCACTGAAATGAAGTTCTGTAGACGGAGGAATGGGACAGGTTTAAGAAATGAAGTTTAGAAGGAAACACGTACCGGGAGGTAAAATTTGTTTCATTGATTGTGTTCTCAAAAACTGCACATTCGTCTCCTCTTTGCCTTTGAACAAAGGTCATGGACGGTGCATTTCTTCTATATTCTGCCTCAGCGTTCCCGATGTAACTGTTTGTTATTTCCGCTGTTTCTAGATTACTCCATCCTGTTAGATTATAAAACGGTTCGTAATTTTCAGAAAGGTCTAAATGTTTCACACATTTCATTAACCTCCGGGCCTCGACAGGATCAAAGTAAAGAGATTTCAAACGACTTTTTCTTAGTATCAGTTTTTCGACACACACCATAGGAAGAAAACCAGCACGATCTGACCATGGTCTGATTAAAATACCTTCATCAGAAATGCGACTGACGTCATCGAAATGTAAAACTTTCATGGTTCTGTTCGTTAGAGTAGCCGTGGCATCAAGTAAATAAGGAAGAGGAACGGGACTTCGAAAAACACCAAAACTGTCCAAACTACCCAAAGGTCTCAGGGCCTCTCTGTCAAACCTATACAATCTCAAAGCCTCGTCTATAAATAGTTCCCTTAACTTACTGTCACGCAGACATTCAAAACTTGTTGAATCAATAATTTTCGAAGACGTCATGAGTTCTAATCGTTCTAGTAATGGCAAACTAGAGAAATAGTTTCCAAGGTATGTGTTTGCCACTTCAAGACTCAGTACAGTAAGATTCTTTAATGGGTCCAAGAACTGTTTTGGATACATGTCAACTGGGCAGCGAAGGGAGTTTTCTTTCAGCCGAAGAACTCGAAGTGACACAAGCGGTTCGAAAACTCTTAAAGGAACTGTTTTTCTAGAATTCAGAGGCATAGTAAAATCACAGGATGCTGACGCTAAGGCATTATGTTCTAAATCCAGATACTCAAGTTTGCCTAAACCGAAAAAGGCGTTCTCTTCTAACTCTTTGATGTAGCAGTGACGAGCGCTCAAATGTCCGAGTTGTGTGAGATGAGAAAACGTCCTGTTCCGCAAAACGCTTAGGCAGTTGTTGTCCAAGATGAGAATAGTTGTGTTGTCAGGAAACCCTGTGGTGTTTAGTTGAGTGATCATACGAGAGCTGCAATTGACTAAAACGTCGTTACCATCGAGGCGGATATCGCAGGGTGGTGGTGTTGAGAAATTACTTGAAAGAGAGGCTTTGAACATCGCCATTACTGAAAGATCGTTGAGCCAAGGGGCAGGATACGGTGGTTTGGGTGGATTATTGTTCTTTTCGTTTGGACATACTACGTGAAACAGGATCAATGTTCCACACAGGAAGAAATATGGAGCCAGGGAAGACATCATTTATATTTCAGTCTCATCAATTTCTGGTTTGGATAAAAAGAAAAATATTATTGACAATTTTTAAAATATGTGTGTGATAGTGTTCTACAAAAACATGAAAGTTATTACGAAGTAAACCTTTATATTATTGAGTTAACTCAGGTACCTGTAAAACCTTTTGGATGGGGATCCGGCTGATATTCATTAATATTGTGTTCTTTTGGTACCCCACCCACTTCCCGTTCCTTGGGGTATTAGGTGGATGGGGGGGGGGGGGGGGGGGAGTCACCTGGAGATAATTCAGCCTACATGTACTTTTACGAATGTAAGGGTTTACCCCCCCCCCCCCCCAAAAAAAAAAAAAACAGAGGCTCCAATCACTCACCTGTCAGACTGCCATACGCCTCATTTAAAGGTTTAGAAGTGCTATAGCAAAAAGAAAGTAATGCTTATACACATTTTCATAAGTTTGCTAATTGTTATGAAAACAATATGGACTGCATGGTTGTAATTGTCTCGTGAAAAGGTACTGTACTGAGTGTCTTATAAAAAATGGGACTCGTTTAAAGGGCAATAACTCTGTCATCTTTGAACCAATTTCAACGAAACTTGGTAAAAATGAAATTCAACCGGGAGGGGGGGGGGCATCCCATTGGTCAAAATAAAACAAATCTACCACCCTGTTCGAAAACAAATCAAGTTTTTCAATTTCAACCAAAATTTATTGAAACACAAAACTTTTCAACCATACTGATCTATTTCAAACAGTCACCATTCATGCATTGAAGAACAAATTTATGCAAAAAAAACTACATTGCCAAATAAATCGTGGGAGGTGACGGCTACTTAAATCTCCAGGGATTGACTAGTTCTCTCCATGCAAGCTCCAAAACACCACTGGACGTTTTGAATAACCCCGTGGCGTGATTTTGTATCCATTCTTTAGACGTCCTGTTCAACTTTGAGTTTCAACTGTTCGATCGTGTATTGATTATTTCCGGAGACAATTAAAAAAAACAAAAACAAAGGTAGTAATTTAAAGGGATCAAGTTTGGGGGAATGTGAAGCCCATTCATTTTTAAACTTTCTCCCTAAAAGGCGTTCCCTAAACATTTTTTTACAATCACACAAGAGCCTCTCTAGACAGTTGGGGTGTGATCCCATCCCAGTGGAACGAGGCCTCTACATCTTCTCCACTTCAAACTTCTCCAAAACTTTCTCAGCACGGTGAGATATCCATCTGATGTGACTGTCGTAGTTTAACCGTCCGTGTCCTGAAACCAGAACGGGCCATGCACGCCCTCGTAGCTAAACGTTCCTAAGAAGTGAAATTTTGCGTTTTAACCAAATTCGGTTGAAATTTTTAAAACTTGATATTTAACGGAGACATCGAAGGATTTTCTTGATATTTACTAACTGTTCCACTGGTTGAATTTTATTTGCTTGAAGTTTTGTTAAAATTAGTGCACTAATGGTGGATCAATGCCCTTTAAGTGGGTCCTCTTTTTTGTTAGACATTCTACCATAAATGTTTGTAGTGTCTCTTCATAAAGTCGTTCTTATAGCATGGTTTCCTCTCTTCTATATCTATTTCACTGCTACTGGTCAGACCAACTTTGTGAAAGAAGTTGAATAAAGTCTTACTCCTAATTCAGCAACTCTGACCTTCTTGAAATCATTAGTCTATCGTCTATCGCTGTCTGAATTCTTATGACTTCAATTCTGCTACGGGTATTTCAATTTATTCAACTTCTAAGCATTGAACAATATCCACGTTTAGAACGAGTCGACGCTGATCTTATTCATCAACCGCGTCCTTACAATGGAACCACAAGCATGGTACCTTCACAAATTTTATGGCAATGCTAGAACAGCATCAACCAGACAAACTAGAGACACATTAAATAGTATAATAATAAGTCTAGCTATTCTGATAAAAGTCAGAGGTTTGTCCCCTGGGCGTCTCCAGATGTCTGCGTACCCACCGGGAGTTCTCGCTCTCTCTCTCTGTCTCTCTGTCTGTCTGTCTGTCTGTCTGTCTGTCTCTCTCTCTCTCTCTCTCTCTCTCTCTCTCTCTCTCTCTCTCTCTCTCTCTCTCTCTTACTCTTACTCTTACTCGCTTTATGTCTGTTTGTGTGTCTATGTGTCTTTCATTTCTGTATCATCAGTAATTCTTTCATATATCTATTTATCTCTTTGAATATCTACACCTTTCTGTTTCCGTTCTTGTATCGAGTGGCTCTGTTTATCTTTCAGAGATTCATCCATTAACTGATCTATCGGAAAATTACCTGAATGAAAATATGAAAACTGAGAGTGTAACTGTAACAAGTTGGCGATTTGTACTAGGCTTGATGGTTCAAACAAGTCACTGACTCAAAAGCTGACGAAGCTCATATCGTGTTTGATTATTTGTTTTGTTTTAGATATATTTTTAGGGGAGGGGTTGTTTTTTTAACTAGACTGAATCTAGAAATATCTATTTTTAAAAGTTCACAGATGGTGGATAAATCATGGTGCAGGGAGAGCTGAGAAGTAAGCCTCAATGACGAGTCTTTCTCACTTGCTTTCGACATGAAACAATGACCCGTGATCATTCAGTCAGTGGGGTAGCAATGTTTCCCGGAGTTTCTGACGTAAGTGATAGTTGAGCCTCAGTCTTGGCAAACAGATCAAGTTATCCTCAACAACAGCGCTCAACAACTGAAGGGGAAGGCGGCGTGACCATTTGTTTTTACACACGACCACCAATCTGAAAACAGAAAAGATAGTGGGTTTGAAAGAAAAAATAGGAGAAAGCTGATTATCACTAAAACAGATGGGTAACCGAATAATGCACGAATATCTTCAAATTAGCCATTACAAGCTACATATAATGCAGAGCAGTCTAAAAGTAAAATAAATTTCAGCGCAATACTCTATTGAATAATTCAGAGAGAAGACTACCGGTATTCAAGTTTTAACCTACTGGTTGTTAAATTTTCTGTAGGTAGACATATGAATTTTCGACAGCATAATCGTGCTGTCATGTCTCACAACAAATGAAACAAATAAATATTAAGGCTAAGATATGAATTCAGATACAATAGAATTCTAAAGGCTTTTGCATTGGGAAAGAATATTGTGTAACACGGAATTTCGTAACAGTTTAAGTTCGAATAGAAATTATTATATATAGATCATCTTAAAGATGAAATATTTATTGAGTCATAAACTCTGGGGTCAGACAAGCATTGGTGTAGGACAGAAAGGAAGAAAGATGGACACCATAAAAGAGTAAAGATCTCACATACAGATATCTGTGTTCATTTGTCTTTCGCCATTCAAAGGAGGCAAGACATACAAGACGATGATATAAAGAAAGAAGAAAGGCAGACACCTTTGACAGAGAGAGAGAGAGAGAGAGGGGGGGGAGGGAGGGGTCACTCACCTGTGTGGGTTATCTGGAGTCTGGGAGTAGATGGCTGTCTTCAACGTGAAAAGTGCCCACTCGTCTCCGTCAAGGAAGTTGTCAGTGACGAGAAGCACCAGCCTCCAGCTGTTGTTGATGGCCTCCACGATGCCGTCCGCCATGCTCATGCCAAGCATTTGGTCACGGTCTCGGATATAGGTGGATAGGCCCAGCTCCCTTTCGATGAATGTGTTCAGCTCTCCACAAGGAAAACCGTAATCCGCATCAGCGTAGCCGATAAACACACCCGTTCTGTAGTCCTTTGGTGTTTTCAGCTTGAAGTCAGGAGCGATAGCATTCAGCAAGAACGTTTTGATATAAGTTTGGAATTTGAATATCAAGACAGTAGACAGGAACACGGTTATACATCCACTGAGTATGATTGTGGCGATCAGGAAAAAGAATCGACCATTGCAATGTCTCCAGAGAACCTTTGGGGGTTCACTTTCTGCTACAAATATTATATATATGTCGTCTGTCAGGCACATAAGATGTTCGATTGAATCTATCTTCATAGCTGTCGACCTTAACCAGGTCAAAGAAGATAATCCTGAACAACTACATGTAAGCATATTTCTCTCCATCAATAATGTTAAGTTCTTATTTACCAAATAAGCGTCATCGAGTTGGTTGATGTCACCTCTGGATAAGACATGTATAGCGTTGTCTTGAAGATTTAATACGTTAAGGTTCGGGACAAATTTCAGGGAAACGGGAATCGACGTGAAAGAGTTGTGATGAAGGATTAAGCTCTCCAGTTTAGGGTTAGAGCTAAATGTGTTTGGGCTTAGATGTTCTAAGTCGTTGTTAGAGAGATCCAGATATTTCAATACCGTGAGCTTAGCAAACAAGCGACCGCTGTGCATGGTCATCATAGTCTTGTTCAACTGGTTGTTGGACAGATCTAGAAACTCCAGTTTGGGGAAGAAGTCTAAGAAGTTGAGGACCAATTCGGAAAGATCGTTGTGAGACATATAGAGTCTCCTGAGGTTTGTAAGACCACGCAAACTCCCCGTGATATGTTTAAAGTGGTTGTAACTTATGTCAAGATCCGTCAGACTGCCAGCATTTTTGTAAAGGAAATTTGCTCTGAATGGACGTTCAATGACCTCGGAATGCGATAGATTAAGGTAACGAAGATTAGTAGGAAACAAGTAAGAATAATTTCCGACCACCTTTATTTCTTTATACGTTACACATTTAAATTTACTTGAGGCCAGGTGGCGATACATCGACAATTCCTGATGATACACACTTGCTAAACTCTTATAACTGTTTGTCATTGAGAAGGTTTCGAGATTTTTCCATGAGGTCAAATTATAATAAGGTTCGGGGTTATGAGAAAGATCTAAATGACGTAAACATCTTGTCAGCGGTATTTCCCGACTCCAATCAAAGTCAAATGATGCCAAGCGACTGTTTCTAAGAACCAATGTCTCTACACATATATTCCCAATGACAGCTCCAAGATCGTGTCCTTTTCCAACGAAGTGCAAATGTTTGTTTCCCTGGTTGACTTCCACAAAGTGCAGAGTTTTCATAATTCGATTTGTCAGCGGACGTAGGGCTGGAAACAAAGTGTGCAAATCAATTGCACCTTTGGAGACTCCGAACGTTTCTAGACGATCTAACGGTTCAAGAGCCTCTTTGTCAAACTGAACTAATCGCACTGCTTCCTCTATTAGAAGTTCCTTTAACTTACTTCCCCGCAAGCATTCAAAACTTCTCGAAGTGATTTTTTCTCCGTATGTCATCAGTTCAAGTCGTTCAAGAAAAGGCAAGCTGGAGAAGTAGTATCCAAGATATGTTTCTTTATTCGTCACCTCTAGACTGAGCGTAGTGAGATTTTTTAGCGGCTCTATGAGGAGAGGTGGATACATATCTCGGAAACAACCGCCGCTGTTCTTCTTCAAACGGAGAACACGAAGTGATACCAACGGTTCAAATATTCCAGGAGGAACAGAAGACGATTCCAAGTCGTATGGAACTGTTGCACAACAGTATAAGGACGCAAGACCGTTGTCTTCCAAATCGAGATGCTCAAGACTGCCTAAACCATCAAAGACATCGTCTTCCAGAAATTTCAGTGTGTTGTTGCGTACGCTCAGATACCGAAGCTGTGACAGATGCCTGAAGGTGCCGTTGGGTAGGATCCGTATATTGTTGTTAGCCAAAATAAGGCAATTGGTATTGCTAGGAAACCATATTGCATGCGGCTTGATAATCATTCGAGAGCTACAATTGACAATGACGTAATTTTCGTCTTGTGTGACGTCACATGGGGATGGTACCACCCATGTGCTGTTCGTGAGCGAGGCGTCAAATCTTTTTTGTTCAGGCATGTTGATAGGAGCCAAAGTTACATTGCTTTCGACAGACTTGCAGTTGGCTCCAGAGAGGATGAGCAGCACGCCAAGCACATTTAGATAAGAGGCTCTTGAGGCAGCCATGTTCTCTCAGGCCAGTGGGTGATTCTGAATGTCAAAGAACACCCATGAATCAATACTGTAGCAAAGTATTTTCGAGGGAACCTTATTTCGTGTAGAGTAAAAACTGGTAAAATCTCCTTATTTTTTAAAAATCCTATATCTTAATTA